ATTAAATACATTCATTATTCAATAAAAAGAAAATACTTACTTATAATAATGATCAAAATGAATCTATGTTAATTAAATTTCCCTCTTAGGCTCCTGAATCTAAATTCACTCTCTCGCTCTCATCAAACAAACACAAAGCCCTTGGAAGTCACAACGCCAAAACCCTCTCGCCTTGGAAACTGAATTCCTCTATCGACTTGTTTTCGTAAGCTTGGCTGATTGATTTCTACAAAACTTGCCGATTGAGAAGAGAAGGATGCTCAATTAAAAGCTCGGTGAGTGACCTGTAACTATTTTCCCCCTTAAACCCTTGCTCTGATTTCGTTCATTTTTTATCCTCCAGTTTCTTTGGAGCTGAAATTGTTTGTCATCCTAACATTTCTGATTATATATATTTTTTTAACTGTAGTCGCTGCAAGTGTCAGCTAAAATCCTGATGTATGTAGTATTCAATGTTTGCAATTGCAATGCCAACCCTTTTCTTTCTTCGTTTTGCCCCTTTTAGACAAATGTCTTTTATAAAAGAAAGCTTCATCAATTTGAGCTTAATCAATTAGGAAATTATGATGCAGGGAGTATCATTTTGTATTCAGAAAGTCAAAAAGTAAGTAACATTTTATTTTCATTTTTAAAAAAAAGTCCACTCTATATATGTTCATGTAATCAATGGTATTTGATGCGGTGCTGCAGTGTCCTTGCTGCTGTTTTGAATTTGGTACTGCTGCAGTCTCTCTTTATGTTTCTATGTCTATTTTTAGAACAAACAATCCATCGATATTTGAGGAGCAAGCTTCCGGTGAACAAACAATTCAAGTTCAACCAGATGAACAACTTCACAAGATTCAAAAAGTCACCATGGAAGAATTTTGATATTAATTGTTTAGAACGTGATCCTGCCAAACGTCTCCAAATTTGAGAATATCCAATAAATCAAAGAGATGAAGTTCGAAGATCTTATCTTAATTGGGGTCCATATCAATGCCAAGTTGAAAAGTATCCCCTTAATGGAGATAAATATCCAAGACGATTTCAAACATCTTGGTTTAAAATGTTCCCTTCATGGCTAGAATATTCTTCAACTAATGATGCTGTTTATTGTTTACTTTGTTACTTGTTCAGTAAAAAACTTAGCGGTTATCCCGGAGCTGATGTGTTACTAGAAAAGGATTTAAAACATGGAAAAAGGTCAATGCCGGAAAGAAATGGGCTTTTCTTAATCATATTGGAGGGAGTCCTTATTCACCTCACAATAATGCTTTGAAATCTTCTCAAGACTTGTTCAATCAATCAATTCACATCAGAAATGTTTTTAATGTGCAGTGTGCTGATCAAGTCATCCAAAATAGACTTCGTCTAAAGAGCTCTATTGATTCCATTCGTTCGCTCGCATTTAAAGCTTGTTCCTTTAGAGGCCATGATGAATCACTTGGATAAAAAATATAGGTAACTTTCTTGAAATAGTAAAACTCTTAGCGTCATACAATGATGAACTTGCAAAAGTAGTACTAGAGAATGCTCTAATAAAGTGAAAAGGTATATTCAAGAAGATATTGGGGATTCTAAATTTTGCATAATTGTTGATGAATCACGTGATGAATCTTTGAGGGAACAAATGGCTATTATCTTGAGGTTTGTGGATAAAAATGGGTGTATTCAAGAACGATTTTTTGAGCTTGTGCATGTTAATGACACTATGGCTATCACTCTTTAAAATGCAATTTGTGATGTTCTTTATCAACATGGTCTAAATGTTTTAGATATTCGTGGGCAGGGGTATGATAGTGCTAGTAATATGAGAGGGGAGTGGAACGGATTGCAAGCATTATTGTCAATGTTTTGGTCTACAAATACATTGTTTTGCACATAGATTACAATTTGCTTTGGTTGCTGCATCAAGAGAAGTTTTTATTGTTCATGATTTCTTCACACTTGACTCGTATTGTCAATGTTGTATATTCCTCTAGTAAGCGTCATGATGAGTTTCAAAATGCCATTTTTGAGGAGATTTCATTTGCTAGAGATTGGTGAGCTTGATAGTGGTAAAAGACAAAATCAAAGTGGTACTTTGAAACGAGCCGGAGATACACGTTGGAGCTCACATTTTTCTTTTGTTTGTAGTATGATAGATTTGCATAATCCAACTTGTGTGGTTCTTGCAAATATTAGAAAAAATGGGAGAAGTTATGCTACACGCGGGGATGCTAATGCTGCTTATAGGTTTATGAAATCATTTGAGTTCACATTAATTTTTCACATGATGAGAGAACTTATGGGAATTACAGATCGTTTGTGTCAAGCTTTACAACATAAATCTCAAGATATACTTAATGCTATGCTGTTAGTCACGACTATGAAGACATTAATTCAAAAGTTGAGAGAAGATGGATGGGATGACTTATTGAAAGATGTAATATTATTTTGTGAAAAACGTGATATTGATTCTCTTGATTGTAATGCAGTTTATATAGAGCGTGAAGGTCGTGCACGTCATCAAATGGATCACATTACCGCGGGTCAACATTTAAGAGTGGATCTCTTTTGTGTTACAATCGATCAACAACTACAAGAATTGAATCATAGGTTTTGTGAGCAAACAATGGAGCTTTAAGTCTAAGCAATATTTGGTTCCTAAGGATATTTACAAAGCATTTGATTTGAATAATATATGTGCTCTTGTAGATAAATTCTATCCTACAAATTTTAGTGAGCATGAGAAAATTAATTTGAGATATCAACTTCAACACTTTCATCTTGATGTTGTTGGTCATCCGGATTTAAATAACTTGTCAACTATGTCTGAATTGTGTCAAGCTCTAAAAAAGATAGGGAAGACAAATACATATTATTTGATTGATCGACTTATCCGTCTTATCTTAACTCTTCCAGTTTCTACAACTACTATAGTAAGATCATTCTCAGCAATGAAGATAATCAAGACAAGATTGCGCAATAAGATGGAAGATGAATTTCTTGCAGACAATATGATGCTTTACATTGAAAAGGAAATAGTTGAACACTTCACAACTGATTCAATTATTGATGAGTTCAAGTCTTTAAAAGAGCGGAAGGTGGTACTTTAATTCGAGGTTGGATATCTCCATTTATATATTCTATTTTTATTTTGTTAGTTATTTTGAATATTTGAAAAAATTGAATCTAAATTTTATAATTTTTAGTCAATTTCAATTATAATATTTTAGTTAAATATTTGCCGCCCCTAATATTTTAGTTAAATGTTTGCCGCCCCTAATATTTTAGTCATGATCCGCCACTGTAGGTTTTTGCTGTTAAGCCTGCTGTCAGGGGGCAAGTCAGGGATTTTTGGTCTAGCAGGGTCAGGTCTGGGACTTTTTTTAGCATGAATGCTGTTGATATGTAGCTTTTTTGTGGTTTTTCGCATGTCAGGCAATATGTTTTTCATGTTTTTCCTTGCTTCTTGAGACTGTCCAAGTTGTGGCTCAGTTTTTGTGGTTAAGTGGGCAGTTTTCTTGTCTTTATTTTATAGTTTTGTGGTCTTTTTGTTCTGCTAGTGCAGTTGAGTTTATGTGTTTATCATTGATCTTTTGCTCAAACTTAGCATTTTTATATTAATTATGCTGATTAAATAAAATGTAAAAATAGATTGGATCATAAGAATGATGAGAAGTATTGATTTTGGCAGTGGGTTATGAATACAGATCTTATTAAGTGTTGGCAGAAGCCTCCTAGCCATGCAAATTTTCTGTTTCTTCCATAGCTTATTTGAAACTTGTTTTTCGTTAGTTGCTTAAGGCCAATAGTCCTGCAGTTAAAATAGATTGGATCATAAGAATGATGAGAAGTATTGATTTTGGCAGTGGGTTATGAATACAGATCTTATTAAGTGTTGGCAGAAGCCTCCTAGCCATGCAAATTTTCTGTTTCTTCCATAGCTTATTTGAAACTTGTTTTTCGTTAGTTGCTTAAGGCCAATAGTCCTGCAGTCCTGCTAGTGACTGGTATGTGTTTTATTTGTGATCCTTAGTTTCTTTGGCATGGGATAGTGCCGCTAGTGCACAATAGTTGTAATTTTTTGCCTGCAGGCACAACTGGTGTTCGAATATTTAAGTACTTAGTAAAATGTTTTGCTGTCTTTTAAAAACAAAACAAATTATGGCTAAATAAAACAAGCAGCTTATAAGAGAGAAGAAAAAATGAGGAGGATGAACCTTGATTGGATGGTGTTTTGAAGAAAAATAAGCATACATTCTATATTTGAAGTTTCATGAACACATAAATCTTAGTTTCAAAGGTTATATATTGCAGTAAATAATGCTACAGAGTCTATAGGACCATTTATAAGTTGAGTTTTTTCATTGATCATAATAACTTTTGTCTTTTGTACCATAAGTTGTGTACTGATATCCAATCCATCTTAGATGAAAGTATTATGAGAAATTGATAGAGAAGTATAATAGTAATAGTGTATTTACTTTTTCATATATTAATGGGTTAATAGCCATTTTGCCCTCTGTCATTTGGACGAGATTTGAAAACCTCCCCGTAAAAAAAAATTTAGATTCCCACCATGTCATTTAAAGATTCCACTGTTTTGGTCATTCATTAAACCAACTCACCCAAAAAGCTTATGTGGCATTGACAATTTGACATTTTTTAAATTAAAACATTTTGTTATTCTATCTGTCATTTATTTATTTTAACGAAAACATTTTAAAACTTAAATTACTGTGAACCCTAATTTGAGTTTTTGTCATCGTGTTCTTCTTCCTCCTTCATACTTCATTCCTCCGCCGCTTTCCTTCTTCAATTCCGCTACCACTGTTATCAGATAGCCATAAATTCATAGGCTTTGTTCAAAAACCATCTTCTTCTCTTCTTGGTCTTAACCATTTGACCCCATCTCAAATCAACCAGATCCAATCACAAATCCAACTTCAAAGCTTTATCTTACAACAACACCAACATCATCAACAACAACTCTCAGTAACACTCTTAGCTTCCCCAGTCCAACGTCGATCCCTATGAAGCACGTGGGTAATACTCCTTCAAAACCCACGAAGCTATACAGAGGGAAAAATGGGTTGCTGAGATACAGGCTTTGGCTTGGTACCTTTGTTACAGCAGAAGAAGCTGCTTTGGCTTACGACAAAGCTGTTTATAAGCTTTGTGGTGACTTTGCTAGGCTTAATTTCCCGAATTTCAAACACCATGGATCATGTATTGGCATTGGTGGTGAGTTTGGTGAGTATAAGCCTCTTCCTTCTTTTGTAGCCGCTAAACTTCAAGCTATTTGTGAAGGTTTAGCTGAGATGCAGAAACAGGGAAAGCCAGAGAAGTCTAAGAAAACACCTGCTCAGTTGAAAACTTCCTCCAAGGTGGTGCCTCCACTGGAGACGGTGGAGATAGAGAAGTCTGTTGATGACTTGAAGGGTCCAGGTTCAGAAGGATTTTGTAAGGTTGAAGTTTTAGAAGTTTGTTCATGCCTTAATTGTGAGTTTTCGAATGAGTTTGTTGACTTAAAGGTTCGAGTTAGGAAAATCTGAGGCCAGATTCATGCTCTACGCAATAAAACAAGGGGGGTCGAGGTTGAGATTTTGTTGATTTGAGTTGGTGCCGTCGTTGAACCACTATCAACCGCCGCGGGTTTCGCCGTAAATCTGCTTTATTTTCTTTGCATTGTGTAATTTAAAGAATCATTACAAAAAAGGTTAGTCTTTAATTTTATAACAGATGGCCCATTAGCTCAGTTGGTTAGAGCGTCGTGCTAATAACGCGAAGGTCGCAGGTTCGAGACCTGCATGGGCCATTAATTTTAGTTTTTTTTTGTTGACAGTAAATATATTTTTTTTGAAAAATACATTAGTTATATTTTGTAGTGTTTTTTTTTTGTTGGTGGTGAGTCAGTTACTATGATTATAAAATGTCAATACAAAGAGTGCAGGAAAATGTTACTAATTTACAAATTTTCTGATAATCTATAATTCTAAGTATAAAATTCTGCAGAGTTGACTTCGTATTCCTTTGCTGAGTTTAAAGCATTCTTCATTTACAAGTGCAGGCTGCAGAGAATTAGGTTGGTCTGTTCCACAGTTCTTGCATCAACCATCTTCTATGTTCCACTGATAAATGCTTAGTGGCTTAGCTTGCTAGCTAATAACAAATGTCAGCTAACTTGCCTCAGATGCCAAATATTTTCGTTTGTTTACTAAGCCAACTTTTTAGTCCATTTTGAAATCAAAGACTGATTTTAATTTTATTATCTGAAACAGAATCAGTATCTGCTCAATACTACATTTATATATTGATTTGAATGTAACATGTAAGTATGTTGTTGCCTTCACCTGCTTGCAATTTTTTAAACCTTGGTAAAAAGCGGTGTACTTGTGTGTAAATTGCCTATAAACCTGGAACCTCAATGTAAAGTAGGCTAATATCAATTATGTCAGATTTGAATTCCCTGATCTCTAAAGTTTTGTATCCTTGTCTTTCAGATCGTTTAGCTCTGATACGTCAAGAAAGAGCTGAGTTTAAAATTCTACTCTGCCTTTATTTATACTGATCTTCCCAACATTTAGGATGAACTTCTATCCACCTTGTCCAGAGCCTGAAAGAGTTCTCGGGATCATTCCTCATGCCGACAATTTTGCGATCACTCTCTTGGTTGATTTTGGTGATTTTCCAGGACTGCAGTTTCTCAAAGATGGAAAATGGGTCAGTGTTGAACCAATAGAAGGTGCCATTGTTGTTAACATTGGCCATATAATTTAGGTTTGTATATTTTTGGACTCATAAGGCTTCAAATTTTTCCTCAAATACTGATTCATTGCAAGTTCGATGATGCATGTTCTTCGATTATTGTCAAGTGGAATATACAAATCACCAGAGCATTGAGCCGTCTTGAATAAGGAGAAGGAAATATTGTCAATAGTGAGATATTTCTATCCAAATTCCTCTAAAGATATTGGACCTGTTGAAAAGTTAATCGATGAAGATAACAAGCAAGTATACAAGAACCTGACACATGCATAATACTTCAACAGGCTTTTCAATAGGAAGCTTGATGAATCCTTTGCAGATAGTTTGAGGTTATGGTGATAAATAATGTTGTTTAATTGTACAACTCTTACCTTTAATGTATCTTATATAGTCTAAATACACTTCAAAGTCATAGCTGAAGTAACTTGTTCCAAGTGTCAAGTTCACGTGCATTAACTTACTTTTTGTGAAAATATGGAATTTCAATGTTGATAGGTTAGTTAACCAACAAAATGGTTCTTATTAAGTTTTGTTTTATGAGATACTATAAAAGTCACACATAGCATATCAGAATCATATGAGCATTGCAAAGAGCTTCAACTACTATACTATATTTCCCTGAAGTTCTTCTCATCAGTTAGATCAAATGAACCATGGCTTTCATCGGTTTGTCAACAATCACTTTTCTGTTTATGATTTTAGCTATTTTGTCAGCAAAAAGTAGTAGTATAATGATTGTCTTGTGTCATATATAGTTTTCTATTCTATAGTGCTTTGCTCATGTTGTATGTATTGGAAATGTAATTTAGTTAATGTCTATAATTCCAAATGCTTATTCTTTATTAGGGCCTTTTGGCATTTTCAATTTTAGTATAAATATGCTACCTAAACTATCAATATTGTAACTCATTAATTCCTCTATTTGAATATACAATAGTAGTCCTCTTTGTTATCATTCATTGCTCATTCTTCTTCTCCCCTTTCATTACCTTGCACCAACAAAGTGGTATCTAGAGCACTTGGTTCTGTTTTTCCTGGAAAACACGAGTGTTTGTGAGCTGTGTGTTTGATTTTGGTTCATTGATTTTCTGTTGAAATCTTGAACAAAATCTGAACAGAATTTGATTCTATGGGTTGGAAAACAGTGTGTTTGAAGATCTGAAAAATCCGTGCAAGGTTTAAAATGAGTGGAGACGGTAGTTTGAACACCAAACTTCCAGTTTTTAATGGCAAAAACTGGAACAAATGGATGATACAAATGCGTGTGCTGTTTGGTGCACAAGATATTTTGGATCTGGTTACAGATGGTTATGTACCAGCTGCAACAGATGCTACTGAAGAACAAAGAACTGCTGAGAGGATGATGAGGAAGAGGGACCAGAAAGCTCTGTTCTATATCCATCAGTGTGTGGATGAAAGTGTGTTCGAGAAGATTGCTGATTCAACAATGTCAAAAGGGGCGTGAGATTTACTGGCGAGATGTTACGGTGGTGACGCATCAATAAAGAAGGTGAAGCTTCAATTCCTACGAAAGCAATGTGAGAACCTGAACATGAAGAGCAGTGAGAAAGTTTCTGAATATATCTCCAGAGTGATTCTGATCACTAACGAGATGAAGGCGTGTGGAGAAACTCTGTCTGAACATGTAATCATAGAGAAGATTCTGAGGTCGCTTACTCCTCGGTTTGATTACATTGTTGTTTCTATTGAACATTCTAAAGATCTGGGAACTATGAGAATAGAAGAATTGCAGAGCAGCTTAGAAGCACAGGAGTTACGTCTGTCTGAGAGAACTTCTGAGAGGGAAGCTGAGCAAGCTCTGAAGGCTTCTTTTGCCAAGAAAGACCAGAAGCAGAATAGACGTGGTGATAGATTCCAGAAGTCAGAAGCCTCAACTTCTGATGATAAGAAATATCATAAAGGAAATGAGAGGTATGACAAAAGGAATGTTCAATGTTACTCTTGTAAACAATTTGACCATTTTGCCAGAGATTGTAGGTTAAACAAGGAAAGGAAATCAGAAGAAGCATATATGGCTAAGAGAAACTTTGATGATGAACCTGTACTACTAATGGCTTCTGATTCTGATGGAAAATGCTCAGAAGATTGGTGGTATATGGACACCGACTGTTCAAATCATTTAACTGGAAAAAAACAATGGCTGACAAACTTTGACTCCAAAAAGAGAACAAAGATCAGATGTGCTGACGATAAGTATCTTAATGCAGAAGGTATGAGAGATGTCAGAGTTAGAGTGAAGAATGGGAAAGACATTCTGATCAAAGATGTTTGGTATGTTCCTGGTATTAGAAGCAATCTGATGAGCGTAGGTCAGCTGATTGAGAAAAGTTTCTCAGTTGTTATGAAAAACAATCTTCTAACGTTGTATGATTCCAATCAGAAGTTAATTATGAAGTCTGAACAAGGAGGCAACAGAACATTCAAGGTAAATGTAGAAACAACTGAAGCAATGTGCCTTAATGCAGAAGGCACTGAAGGTAACAGTAAGCTGTGGCATAAAAGGTTGGGGTATTTGAACTATAGAAGCTTAGGGCATCTATGTTCTAAGAAGCTTGTACATGGTATTTCGAAGATTGTGAAGTCTGAGAAGTCATGTGAGATATGCATGAAAGGCAAGCAACCTAGATTGCCATTTACATCAGAAGTAGCCCCCAGAGCGAAGCATGCTCTGGGAGTAGTACATTCTGATGTGTGTGGACCATTTCCAGTACCTTCACTTGGAGGAAACAATTATTGTGTCTTTTGTGAATGAGTTCACAAGAATGACATGGGTAACACTCATCAAGTTCAAGCATGAAGTGTTCACTGAGTTCCAGAAATTCAAAGTGAAGGTTGAGAAGCAGAGTGGTCAGAAGTTAAAAATTCTGAGAACAAATGGTGGAGGTGAGTATAACTCTACAGTGTTTCAGAAGTTCTGTGAGGAGAACGAAATAGAACATGAGGTTACTGCTCCATATACTCCTCAGCACAATGGTCTTACTGAAAGAAGAAACAAAACTTTGCTTGATATGACCAGAAGCATGCTGAAAGAGAAAAAGCTACCTCACGTGCTATGGGGAGAAGTTGTTGCCACATCAGCATATATTCTGAACAGGTGTCCAACGAAGAAACTGAAGGAAGCTGTTCCTTTAGAGAAATGGACTGGAGACAAGCAGAGTGTCAGTCATCTGAAGGTGTTTGGCTCTGTCTGTTACAAACACGTTCCAGAAGCTAGAAGATAAAAACTGGATGATAGAAGCAAAGTAATGTTGCTGGTGGGGTACCAAAGTACATGTGCGTATAAGCTTTATTGTCCAGAAACTAATAAAGTTGAAGTCAGCAGAGACGTTGTGGTGAAAGAATATGAAACATGGGATTGGAACAAATCTCAATCAGATTCTGGTGTAGTGCCAACACCAGAGTTAGCCTCTGAAGATGTTTTAAAAAGTTCAGAAGATGAATATGATTTTGAAAATCCTGAAGATTCTGAAGATGAGTTAGAAGAAAATTCTGGAAATGGATCTGATTCTGATCCAAATGCTGATGATGATCCAAAATCTGGTGGTGATCATAGTTCTGGAAGGGAAAACTCTAAAGGTGGTAATTCTGAAAGTAGTAGTTCTGGTGCAGCTTCAGAACAAGCTCAAAGACCACAAAGAATCAGACAAAAACCAAGAAGGTTTGCAGATTTTGACATGTTACAGGATAATGAAGTTGACTCTGAAGGAGAAGTCGTTCAGTGTGCCATGTTAGTAGATTCTGAATCAGTGGGCATTGAAGAAGCTCTCAAGAAGAAAGAATGGCTTAATGCCATGAAAGAAGAACTTGAGGCAATAGAAAAGAACAAAACTTGGAAATTGACTAAACTTCCATATAAGAAAAAAGCCATCAGCGTCAGATGGGTTTTTAAGTTGAAACTTAAGCCAGATGGTTCAATTGGCAAGCACAAAGCTAGACTAGTAGCTAGAGGTTTTCTTCAGAAACATGGGCTAGATTACTTTGAGGTGTTTGCGCCTGTAGCTAGACATGAAACAATCAAACTGGTGATTGCTTTAGCTGCAAACAGAAAGTGGCCTTTAATGCATCTGGATGTGAAGTCTGCATTTCTGAACGGTCCATTACAGGAAGAAGTTTATGTGTCACAACCTCCTGGATTTGTGAAAAAGAATCAGGAAGGGATGGTATACAGGTTAAATAAAGCTCTGTATGGACTAAAGCAAGCGCCTAGAGCTTGGAATCTGAAAATTGATTCATTTTTCAAGAAGCAGAGGTTTCAGAAGTGTGAGATGGAATATGGAGTTTATGTACAACACTCGGATAACAATTTGATTCTGGTGTGTCTCTATGTTGATGATATTTTGCTAACAGGTAGCTACCCAGAAGATATAAAGAAGTTCAAGGAAGTTCTGATGAATGAGTTCGAGATGACAAATCTAGGAAAAATGACATATTTTCTAGGGATGGAGATTCTGTACTCGAAGAAGGGTATCATTCTGCATCAGTTAAAATATGAACAAGAACTTCTGAAGAGATTTAAGCTGCAGAATTACAAAGTTGTTGTGACACCATCAGAAACCAATTAAAAATTGGATTCTGACTCTGATGGTGATTCTGTTGATTCTACAACTTTCAAATAATTGGTTGGTTCTCTAAGATATTTATGTAATACTAGACCTGACATTTGTTATGCAGTTGGATTGGTCAGCAGATTCATGAGTAATCCTAAGTGGTCTCATTTCCAAGCTGCTATCAGAATTCTGAGATATATCAAGGGAATTCTGAGACATGGCGTGCTGTTTCCTT